TAACATGTACACGCCACAATTTGCAGAAGATGTAATCTGATCACAAGAGCTGTGAGCTATGAAACAAGAGAGTAGATAAGGGCATCAGCATGGAAATAGGAGCCTGGAAAAGTTCTGAGATGTGAAAAGATGATAGACCATTTGGTGTAGGACTTTAGAAGTGAACCAAGAGCCCTACAAAGCAGTGTCGTGGTTTAACCCCAGCCGGCAACTAAGCCCCACACAGCCGCTCGCTCACTCCCCCACCGGTGGGATGGGGGAGAGAATCAGAAGTGTAAAAGTGAGAAAACTCGTGGGTTGAGATAAAGGCAGTTTAATAGGTAAAGCAAAAGCCGTGCACACAAGCAAAGCAAAACAGGGAATTCATTCACTCCTTCCCATCGGCAGGCAGGTGCTCAGCCATCTCCAGGAAAGCAGGGCTCCATCACGCGTAACGGTTACTTGGGAAGACAAACGCCATCACTCTGAACGTCCCCCCCTTCCTTCTTCTTCCCCCAGTTTTATATGCTGAGCATGACGTCATATGGTGTGGAATATCCCTTTGGTTAGTTGGGGTCAGCTGTCCCAGCTGTGTCCCCGCCCAACTTCTTGTGCACCCCCAGCCTGCTCGCTGGTGGGGCGGGGTGAGAAGCAGAAAAGGCCTTGACTCTGTGTAAGCCCTGCTCAGCAGTAACGAAAACATCCCTGTGTTATCAACACTGTGTTCAGCACAAATCCAAAACACAGCCCCATGCTAGCTACTATGAAGAAAATTAACTCTACCCCAGCCAAAACCAGCACAAGTAGGGAGAAGAGAAAAATGGCGTTAGCACTGAGTGTTCAAATATTGCTACTATGGCACTGAACAGCAGGGTCTGCGTTGTAGAAGTCCATTGAAAGAATCTCTACAAAAGTCAAGCCAGTTTTTTTTACGAGCTAAGCACAGTCTCTGGTCTATTTATGAACACCAGAAAAGTTCCAGGGAAATTAACAGAAAATGTTGAAACTGTTGGTAACTGTATTAATCTCTACTAAACTCCATGTTTGGCTGCAACCGGTGAGCATCCTATCCGAACAGGCAGCCTGTCCTGCTTCTCTCCTCCTCACAGCAGCCATTGCTAGTCCTTCTATGGGTTGCTTCTAAAGTCCAAATTGTAGCAACTCCACTGACTAGGCAACAAGTTCATATAAGACAACAATGTAAAGATGTTAAAAACTGAATAAATACACAAACATTTCAGTAAAGATAAAGAGCAGTCATTGTTAATTTATTAGATAGTCTAACTGCTAGTAAAATACATTAGTTATAAAACCAACATTTGAAAATCTGAATAACTTACTCAGCTTTGTAAAAGACAGAATACTTTAAAAGAAAAGGCAATCTTTTAAAAGATTCTGGAAACACTTCGTTACAAACCTGGAAATAGTGTCGGTGACACCCAATCTTCCCCTCTCTCCCTGACAATTTTCACCACCTGCTTTTAGCTAAAGTATAAGCCAAGATTTGGAAACTGTAAATCACAGGGAAAAGTCTACGTACCACGTAAGCTGCATCTCACAGCTACCAGGCGTTCCAGCTGGGAAATCAAATCCTTACTCTCATCCACACTTACGATAAGAGGTACCTTACCAGATTTCTCTCTAGACAGCTATTCCTGATTAGATCATGTCTCCGTTCAGCACTCTGTCATGGTGTAGATCAGAGCTGCAAAATACGTAGCCTGTTTCTCACCAGCAACCAGATAAATAAATCCTGTGTCCTGCTGGTAGATTAAAGTCACTAAAGTTACTAAAAATCCTTCCGTTTACCTGGGAACTAGATGTGCGGGCAGTGTGAGCCAGCCAGCCAGGTCCTAAGGCACGCCTCCCCGCTACGCACACGCTGTGCTACCAACTTTACGCCCGTTAGTCACGTCTCCCCCTTCCCAGTGTGGGGGCCTGCCAGCGACGGCAAGTGGATAAAGAGGACTACGTCCTCTTTACCTGACGGGCCCCTGAGTGGGTTTTTGCAGTTGGAGTGGGTGGGCAGAAAGGGGCTGGGGAAGGGCCCGGGTCAGAGAGGGAGAGGGAGAGCCCATAGGCACAGTCTGGCAGGAACTGCTGCGTGGGAGAAGGGTGCAGTTCAATGCGGGTAAATTGGGAGCTTTAAGGCCTGGCAGCTCACTAGAGATGAGGCCATTTGAGGCAGACGGGGCTATTTTTCTCATTCACCTCTGCAATAGCGAGCAGCGATCTCATTCTCCAGAGACAGACTCAAGAACAATGTTTAAAACAACCTTCTTGAATTTATAGGCCACAGATGCTACCCATGCCCAAATTCAACGACAGGCATAAAGTCTTCCTTTAACGGCAAAGGATACAGAAGCCATTACATTTTTATTTTGTCCATGCATGTCTCAAGACCCCAGTAAGAATTACAGCATCACCGAGACTTCTGAAGGAGAGTCCGAATGGAAAGCAAAATATTGTCAGCATCCATGTGAATGCCAATTCTGCAAAATTCACAACCTTAAACAAAGTTAAAGGTTTATATACTATCTGTATAGGAATAATTTTTATATAGCTATATATATTATATATATTACTTATATATATAATGCATACATACTCTCTCCATGTATATACTTATATACACATAAACAGCTGGCCGTTCTTTACTGCATCTGTCAGATTTTAAGAAAATCAAAACAGTCTCAAAATACTAACACTCATGCTTGGTTTGCTCAGAATCTGACTGTGGCAAATCTACAGAATCTGTATGTAGTGCATAGGTTATTTGGGCCTTATAAGAATTGCCTGAACTGAAGAAATGATCCATCATCTGTCAGTGTCATGATGATGCATAAATACAAACTAATCAGAACTAACTTCATAGTTACAATTAAGAACAACTTTTTATATGAAGTATGATCATTTATCTAGCAGTATCAAGGGATTAAAAAGAGGTTTTTACAACATTTTTTAAATAGATGCATCCGCCATAAGCTACTATTATTACTTATTTTAGCATGTGGTCTTTGAAATCTTGAACAGCCATGAGCCTAACATGACTACGCCAATTTTGGTAGTCTGCAGTTCATCTCACAGGTCCTAAACCTAAAGTAACCCCTATTGAACTACATCTCAAATAATCTGGCCCCTAGACGTGGGGTTAACACTGTAGAATTCTTCTCTCTTTAATTGCAAGAAGTAGTCGTGAAAACTTTATCTAAAATATTGATAAATGTTCTCAAGTAGGAAAACTACTTCGGTAGTTAGGAATAGCTACTTCCATGTTATTTCAGTCTTCAGTGTCAAGTGCCTGCTTTCCACAAAGAGCACGCAAGACAGAAGAGCAACAGCAACAGCAAAATAAACTGATTGCTAGGATTTCTCTCCTAGTTCACACAGAACAAGGTATTTTCGTTGCTGACCCAGAACTGATAATGAACGAGATATTGTTCAGATAGATATGCATGTAAGTCACAACTTAGCCAAACATGTAATCTAAGCATAGGTCCCAGTTAAGCAAAGAAAAAGTCTTTCCATCCTAACCATCTGCAGAGGCTATTGATACCCACCACTACTGCTTGCACGTGATATTAAGAGCCTGTTCTGCTGTAGAGTTCAGGCACACACTTCTACCATTAAAAGGAGCTCCCAGGCTTTGTTCAAAATGCCGCTCCTGCCTGCCCCCAGTAGAGAAGAGATCAACATTGTGGGTTAGGCTAGCCCACTGGTGACGAAGCTAGAAAGCCCAACACTGCAATTCAACAGCTTAAACTTTTAGCCAAATTGTGACGTATGGGTCTATTCCAGACATCTGCTCCGAGGAGTATGCGCCTGCAAAATCCACACTGATCAACGCATCGTGAAAGTACAGGACAGAACCCACCGTGAGGATGTGCACCTCTTAGTCTTACAATCCGTATCCTCTAAAATTTCATTTCCTCGCCAAACGTTTCTTCTCCATTACCTGCTGTAAACAGTCTCTCATATACCAGCCCTGCATCCACAGCTACAGAAGCATACACACACACATATACCGCAGCTGTGTATCCCATCTAACAAACCCAGGCCTCTATACACGCACACCATAGCCCCAAACCACATCGAAGAAAACTCGCCACAATGCATCACACCATACAGATTACCATACAGATAATCCCTTGCCGATAAATATATATACATATACTCCATATTCGTGTATCACATGCAACAAGCCCAACCTCAATAAAAACACGCCATCTATCGCACACAACAAGCCTGTGCCCCTGTGCAGAAACAGCCTGTGTGTCATGCGATACTCCTATATGTACTCCTTGTACCCTCCTACCACCCCTGAAGTGCCCAGGCTGTCCCAGGGCCTGGGGCTCTGTGTGGGTGGGTGCATGTGTGTGTGTGTGCGCACACTCACACGTGCAAGAAATGTGTGAGCGTTAAGTGTCTAAGAGTGCACGTACATGAATGTGTGTGACTGCATGCGTAGTGTATATGAATGCACATGGTGCCTACAGGTGCGTGAGCCTACATGTGAATGGGTAGTGTGTGGGTGCATATGTGAACATGCCATACGCACAGATGTGCAGGCGTAGTGTGTGTGAGCACATGCATGGGTCGCAGCATATGTATGGAAGACTATATATGGGGGTGTGTAGAGCAGTGCGAATACATGTGCCAGTGCCTGTCTGTATAGTGTGAGTTTACACCGGGGTGCAGTGTGTGTGAGCGCGTGTCTGTGGTGCGTGTGTCAGCTCCTCTGCGTGTGCGTGCGAATCCCCCTGCAGCCTATGCAATGCTGTGAGTACGCGCGATGCACGGTGACGTCTCCCTGCGTCAGCCCCCGTGTGCGTGTGAGTGCCTGTGCGGGTAGCTATGGTACCCTGCCTGTGCGGGTGTCCGTCAGCGCGTCCCCGCATGGGGATGCGTGAGTGCGTGTGTGACGGTGCCTCTGTCCGTCCGCCCGTGCGAGTGCGCGGGGCAGCTGGCCGCAGCCCACCGGCGCGGTCCCCGCTCGGGACGGGACGGGGCTGCCCCGGTACCTGCCGAAGTGTCCCAGGGAGTCGAAGAGCCGCTCG